ACCCTGGCTGGAGTACAGTGGTACAGTCACAGCTTGCTGTATCCTTAACCTCCTAGACTCAAGTGATCCTGCTGCCTCAGCCACCTGAGTAGTTAGGACTACAAGTACATTCCACCATATTATTGTTTTTTTGTAGAGACAGCCACTTTGCCCAGGCTGGCCCAGGCTGGTCTCAAACTCCTGGCCTCAAGCAACCCTGCTGCCTTGATCTTCCAAAGTGCCGGGATTACGAGTGTGAGCCACCACGCCTGGCTTTGTTTTCTTATTATTCCAAATCTATTTTGGAGACAAGTCTTTTAGACATAGATTTCTTTCTTTCCCTGGCATGTGGCACCAGAAAAATTAAATTGCAGCAAGAAAAAGTATAATTATACTTACGGAAGTATTTTTTTGACTGGCAGTGTAAACATGGGCACTGGGATAACCAAAGGAGGATGTCAGACTTTCTCAGGGGGTATTTAAAAACTGACTGACAATATTCTGTTTGGGATACTGTAGGCATGCTGAAATATGACTCAACTTACCTAATTGCAGTTTTCATTTGAGAAAAGATACCTCGAATGAGTCTATTGCTAATATCTCAATATCGGTTGCTCTTTTGTGTCATTTTTCCAGGCCAAAAAACCAATTTTTGGGAATTTTTCAAAACTTTCCTCATACTTTATTATTTTTAAAACTCATTCTTTCTGGTTTTATGAAGTGTTGCTGTGAAACATGAGGAGGGTCATTCAGGGGCATTAATTAGCTTTAGCAAAAACAAATTGTAGTCTCTGCAAACCAATCAAATTAAAAGAAATCCTCAAATTTCTCTCATATAGCAGTAGCACCAATCATTGTTTTAGTTGATGGCATTGGGAAGATTCAGTTAACCCTCTGTAGATGCAAAATAATTAGTGAGATTCTAGAGAAGAGGTTCTACATGATGAAAGGAGTTGGAGGTGTGCGTTAATGACGAGATTCTGGTAAAAAAAGAGTAAAGGGTGCGTTAACGACTGGATTCCAGTATTATTAATGAAGAGTTTTCCTGTGTGTAGAAAACACTGGTCACTTGTCTGCAACTCCACGGAGGCTCAAACTAGAGAAAATTGGCTCCAACTATAGAAAAACTGAGTAAGGTTAGTGTTAGACATAAAACTTTTATTGGCTGGGCGCAGTGTCTCAAGCCTGTAATCCCAGCACTGTGGGAGGCTGAGGCGGGTGGATCACGAGGTCAAGAAATCGAGACCATCCTGGTCAACATGGTGAAACCCCGTCTCTACTAAAAATACAAAAAATTAGCTGGGCATGGTGGCGCGTGCCTGTAATCCCAGCGACTCAGGAGGCTGGGGCAGGAGAATTGCCTGAACCCGGGAGGTGGTGTTGCGGTGAGCCGAGATGGCGCCGTTGCACTCCAGCCTGGGTAACAAGAGGGAAACTCCGTCTCAAAAAAAAAAACAACAAAACTTTTATTATTAGCATTAATATTACGAGATTAAGCAATGGAGCAAGTTAAGAGAGGTCATAATGATATTTTAAAATAAAAAAAGATAGCTATCTGCCTGGAATGTTTAAACATCCATTACTGAATTTTGTTATTGAAGGTGACTTTAGAGGTCACTTATTCTTACAGACTTTTACGGATGAGGATGTGAAAGGACATTATGTAACTTGCTGTGGCCACATTGTTAGATACTATTATTTTAATTTGAAGATATCTTAAAAGTAGCCTTTCGTAAGAGACTTACGAAAGGAAGGAAACCGTGTAAGTGCTTCTGCTTTACAATAGGTTTCACTTCACCAAAAAAGTCACTTAAAGCTGATGACTGTATATTTTTTCCTAAGCCCATGAAGATTCTGCCAACGTGCTGACATGTATGTGTCTTTTCTTGTCATTACAAATGCTGAAGATTTTTATTTGGGCATTTCAAATTTGTCTTTAAATAAATACTATGCTTTGCGCAGGGGCCATGCTAATCTCGGTATTGTTCCAATTTTAGTATATGTGCTGCTGATGCGAGCACAAAATTTTTTTTTTATTTGATTTTTTTTTCCATTTATTTTATTGCATTTTAGGTTTTGGGATACATGTGAAGAACATGCAAGATTGTTGCATAGGTACACACGTGGCAGTGTGATTTGCTGTCTTCTTCCCCATCACCTACATCTGTCATCTCTCCCCTTGCAATCTCTCCCCAACTCCCCACCCCCCACCATCCTTCCCCTATTTCTCCCCAACTGACCCCAATGTGTGGTGCTCCCCTCCCTCTGTCCATGTGTTCTCATTGTTCAGCACCCACCTATGAGTGAGAACATGCGGTGTTTGATCTTCTGCTCTTCTGTCAGTGTGCTGAGAATGATGGCTTGGTTTCCAGGTTCATCCATGTACCTACAAAGGACACAAACTCATTGTCTTTGATGGCTGCATAATACTCCATGGTGTATATGTGCCACATTTTCCCTGTCCAGTCTATCATCGATGGGCATTTGGGTTGGTTCCAGGTCTTTGCTATTGTAAACCGTGACAAGCACAAAATTAATAGTATTCTTTGAATGACTGTTGAATGACAGGTAAGTGATTTGACCTGAGGTGGTCAGTACTGATGGAGGATATCAGGGGACACTGCCACAGCCTTTGTGAAACTGTCGCAGTCTGACGTGGAGTTCTTCATAAACTGTTTGTTGATGGCTGCAACTTGGTGGATGACTTGCTTCAAAGTCCTGGTGATTAATTTGTCTTCCTTAAAGATAACATTTTATAAAGCTTTAGGCTTTGTTTTGTTTAACATTAGTTAGAACAGGAGGAAACATATTTAGACTACCAATTCCTTATGTATGAGACCTGCAAATATAAGTTCCAGCCATTGAAATTAGTGGGATAAATTGCCTGTAAAGGTTTCCTCATTCATTATCACAATAACAAAAATATTGGCACAGGGCATTTTATTTGGTTGTGGTTACATTTTATTTAGGACTTCATCATTCTTTTTATGTTCCCACCAGACTACCTAGAGTGAAAACTCACATATATTTATATTATACTATGTACTTTATTTTAAAGGGTTTATCTGAGTACTAAAAATAAGAGAAAATATTTTAAAGTACCTAGCACATTGCTTGGCATCTGACAGACATTCATTAAATGTTCTTACCTTCAATTCCTTTTTTCCTTCCTTCTTTTAGCATGGATATCAGAATCTTTTAGAAATGTAACAGATTCTTGTCAAAAGGGAAGTTAATAAAATTCATGTATGTTGACCATTCCCTTGACTCACAGGATGTTTAGATTGTCTAAGATTTTAATATCATTTCAGAGATAATCACCTGAAAAGTTAAATTGATCAATGAAAAATATACTCAGCACCTATGATTTGTCCAGTCTGGGGCTAGAAGTAGGGTGCTTTGAATACCAGAATAAGAATATGTATTTAATGTGACAATAGAGAGCTATCCTAGGTTCTAGAAAATTTGAAAGCTAGAAAAAAGTTTTTTAATGGCAATAAAAACATTCCTTTCTAAACCTCCTATCTATATGTAGTAGGGTTACATATTAATAGGGTTTACAAAAATAAGATGGTAAAGTCTCTCTGTTCCTTTGTGTAGTGTCTTAAAATCACCATTCATTTGTTTGTGAACTGAAAAATCAATCACTATAAATATGGAATCTCTTGCTCTAAAGGATAATGGCGTGAGTTTTAACTGTATTAAATCACTTTGAGAACTTGGCCTTTGAGCAGTGACCAACACCAAAGGAAAGCCAGTCTGTTACTGATTTCTCAGACCCATCCACTGCGTGCAAGGAAAGGAGGAGACATGCTGAGAGGCCAAGTATTATTATGTTCAGCCCCTTTAAAGACTCAGTGGCTGCCTGAATGTGCTCATTTCTTGGTTGTTTGTGGAGCCAGAGCAGAAACATCATGAAAGGTTTCGCAATTGAGACGGATGTGCTGCTCTTGCAGTCTGCATATGCTGCAGCCCAGCTCCTGCCTTGCACGCAGCTCATCCCAGCCCAAGAACCCCAAGGGTAGATCTGGAATACTTTTCCAGATGTTGCATGAGAAGAACAGTAGACCAGAGTGTGGCTCGTTGGTACAGGGTCAGAGAGAAACCCCTCACGTAGGCTGGGGGGGAAGATGATGCCAACATTTCAAACTAAGTCTAGGGGTTATTTTTATTTGCTTAGGAAAGACATTTTCTATAGCTTCCAATGTCTTTGTATGTATTTTGCTATGAATTCTTTTCCATGTTTTTCCCAGAGTCAGGAAAGAATTATTGCTAAGGTATAGCACACTTCAGTGCCCCTGAGAAAAATCTCCTTCCCAGCTGTCTAAAACGTTTGGTTGGGATCTGAAAATTTTGGTTTCAAATTATATTTTTTGTTGTCTCAAAAAATGATGAAACATTTAATGAAATTTCAAATGAAATGTAATTTTCATTCTCTACATTTTGATCAGCAGGTAACCAGAAATCAGCGTTCGGAAATTATGCATCTTTTCATTTATTTAAGAATATTTCTAATTCTGAACAATTAAAGCACATTGTTTACAGAGCTTTTAATGTAACTACCACATTGTATACCTTCACCTCTCCCTGTTGGAAAATACCCTTGCCTTATTTCCTAGCACTGAAAGGAATGGTATGAATGCAGGTAGCCATAGCCATTGCATCTGATACTCAGTGTTTCTGCCATCAGGTCACTGAATGCCATGCGCACTTCTTGCTGGGGCAAGTGGAGGGATGCCCAGATGACGGAGGCTGATTTCTAGTTCCCAGCAGCTGATATTTCACTGGAATGAATAGTCTGTACCCTGTCAGCCTGGGTCACTGGGAAGCAGTGTGAAGGTGACCCCAAGAGCGTGCTGTTTTCTGAGGCTTAGACTCTGTGGTTGGGCTTGTCTCAAGTGGTCACACACTACAGTTTTCAGATGTTCTGTTGTGGCTTATGATTGTTGGCATTTCTTCCTAGAGTTTTTTTTAAGGGTTTAACATGTTGCTTTGAATTAATTTGCAGAGAGCTTTGAGTGGCCCGATAGATACATATTTAAACTAAACATTCTATCTGAAGTTACTTTGTGTGTATGTCCATCTGCTATGGAAATGTGCAATTTTTAGCTTAGCTACTGTCTACAACTCTTATTTCCTCCTTGCTACCCAAACCAAGGATTCTAAAACATCAAACTTCAAAAGCCCCGAACTCATTACTTTTCTAAGAAATATATTTCAATAAATCCATGAGCTATGCAGAGAGCAAGCTTATAGTCAGTGCATCTTCTATGTGCTAGCAGTTTGAGTTGCAGGAAAAGGAGCAACTAGTTCAGGTGGTGGTGGTAGATCCTTTGATGAATGGAATGTTGGCATAGGAAGAACAAGTAGAGAGTGGCAACCTTGGCCATCACTGAACTCACCTGAGAATGTGGGAAAGGGGCTTCAGGAATGCCACATTTATAACAAAAACATATTTAATGGTTACAGGACATGCAGAAATATCTGCTTTTTCCAATTCACTGGATATGGACGTTTTAAAAATATATATATTTTGTGTGGTTTCTCTCTTTTATGCATATGCACATACCCATATGCATATGCACATGTGGGTACATGTATGTGTTTTCCTGAAGGCAAGGTTTGAGACTGTGAACCATATCCTACAAAAAGAAAAAGAAGTCTGGATATAATAATGGTAGAGTTGACAGAAAATAGACTTGGTCCCTGCACCAGGCGAATAAACCAATGAGTTTCACATGAGCAAGTTGAATAGGCCCCAAAGAAACTCAAGCCTCCTCTCCTTTCCAACTCATTTAGAGGGGAGACAGGTGGGTCGGCCTTTGTGAGCACTGGGAGCCTGTTTCATACAGGCCAGGCTCTGTTTCCTCAGCCATTTGTTGAGACAGAGAACACTAGGACAAACAATTTGTAAATATGTATAAAGGTTTATTTTCAAATTATTCCACCTGCCTGTCTTCAAGGCATTTTATTTTCTTGCATTATTTCATTTAAGTTTCACAACAGCCCTATGAAATAAGCCCTCTTCCTTTTCCCCATTTATAGAAGATAAAAATTTAGGAGGTTTACATTTAAAGTCACACACTAGTAAGTGTCAGAAGTCGGATGTAAACTTAGGTCTGCTGGATTCCAGAGCATGTTCTTAATGCCTGTCTATGTGCTCTGTGGTAAAGAACTATGAAGATCCTGTTTCTGTTCTCAAAGTCATTTCAGTCTAGCAGACGTGATGATGCCTGAGAGCTACTTTGGCATAGGTCAGTGAGCTGCACTGCCTGCTATGGCAGAGCTCAATATGCAGTTGCAGTAGGCAGAGGGAAGGAAGTGATTGATTCTGATCAGAGGAGGTACAGTAAAGTTTCCCAAAAAAGGTAATACTTTAGCAGAGGCCAGGCACTGTGGTTCATGCTTATAATCCCAGCACTCTGGGAGGCCAAAGTGGGAGGAGCGCTTGAGGCAGGTGTATGAAACCCTGTCTCTACTTAAAACAAAAAAATGAACTAGGTATGGTGGCATACGACTGTAATCCCAGCTACTCAGGAGGCTGAGGTAGGAGGATCACTGGAGCCCAGAAATCCAAGGCTTCAGTCAGTTATGATCTTGCCACTGAACTCCAGCCTGAGTGACAGAGAGAGACCCTGTCTCTAAACAAAAATGTAATACCTTAGCATAGTTGAGAAGATAAAGAGGAGTTCCCCTCTTCATTACAAGAGTACAAGAGTAAAAGGACATTATTCTAGAGAGAATAATATTCAGTTGGCTTGCCAACAAAAGATATATAGAAAGAAAGATTTTTTGAAAGGAGTGTAATCCAGAGCCTCAGCCTGCTGTGTCTCACCCAGCCTTTAGAGACGGCCTGTAAGGTAGGGTGGTCTCAGCTTTCGGTTGTCGGTAGATGACCATTTCCCAAGAGCTGACAGCCGTGCTGTAGGACAAACAGACCATAATGGCATGGCTGGCATTGTTGAGTAACTTTAGTGAGACGTTTGATGGGGTATGTTGTGGGGGAATGGGGTCAGGGTCAGACATAGCTGTTTTGGATTCAGCCCAGCTCCGAAGATGCTAACCGCTTGGTTAAATAGGGACATCTAGAGCAAGTAGATGGTCCTTTTCATCATTGGCAGAAGTTTGGGGGCCTTTGTTTTGTACATGGTACAGCCTCACCTGAAAAGTAAGAAGCAGGACTGGAGGTAGGCCCAGAAATGGGGAGGAGCTGGGCCCAGAAATGGGGAGGAGCTGGGCCCAGAAATGGGGAGGAGCTGGGGGAATGTTAATGAGGTAGGATGGAAGAGGATTTTGGCTGGATCCTGAAGCCATTTGGAGACTTTGAAGCCTCTGGTTCCTGTGACCTACGTGAACTTGCCCAATGCTGCTGAGCCTTAAAGTTTCCTCCCCCACATGGCCTACAAAGTTTCTCTGTCACTCTGGCTTGTCGGATTTAAATGAGATAGTGTATCCAAAGCACAGAGCCAGTCCTGGCACACAGTAGTCACTTAATCTCAATTCCCTTCCTTTTTGTCTGGGTGCCCTCAGGAGGAGTTTGGGTTCACATAGGGAAAGGCTCAGGCCCAGGAAGTACTTCTTTCTTGCCAAACCCAGGTCCTCTCTGCCTCTCCCCACTTAGGCACAGCTGAGCATGATCTTCTAGACCAGCCCCCCCCCACACACACACACACAGGTGTTGCACTTACAGCAGCAGCAGCAGCAGCAGCTTGTGTTTACTTCCCAGGGCCTGAGAATCATTGGCTAATTCTTTTATCTTCTGCGCTAGACTGTAGGTTCCTTGTGGCCTAGGCAGTGATTTTTCTCTCATATTCTCTGGTACATGACCCAGTGTGTACTTGTGCTAGGTACTCAGTAGATGTCTCTACAGCTGTGGGTGAGCAGAGATAGTTTTGGTGATGTGCAGCCACTTACCTTTGAAACCTTTCAGAAGAGAACAGATTGTGAGAGTAGATATGAGAAGAGAACACTTGGAAAAGGCTTAGCCCTAACTCTGTGAAAGGTGGTGAGGTCAGCATGATCTCAGCAGAATGGTCCTTTTTTTGCCCAGGATACTGCATTCTGAACTCTTCTGGTTCCTGAAGTTTTAAGTCCAAGGGTGTATTTTGCCCTCATTTGAAGGTCTTTTATCTGTTACAGAAAGTTGTTTCAGCTCTGCCTCCCACTTGCCTTTTCTGTGCCACTCTACAGCTGTGTATGTCTCCGCGGATACCACAGATTTGTGATGAGCAGGCTTATATCCCTCTAAGCTGGTGGTTCCCTGTGAGCAGTGTTCTTCTCCGCTGCTGTGTCACATGCAGCAGAGCACACACCTGACAGCCGCGTTGTGTGGTCATTGGTTTGTGCAAAGGAGCGAGCAATGGGAGGTTCTCCACCTGGGTCCGGGAAACTCCCCCCACCCCAAGGATTTTGGATGTATGTCACGAACCTGAAATTACATGGGAAATTGTGTGTATATGTATATATTGATAAATATATTCGTCTTGTGAGAGAGCCCATAGTTTACATTAGTTTCTGAAATATTTTCATGATCCTTAAAAAGTTAAAAAAAAAAACTCACTCATTTAGAAATTTTCCACATATGTGTAAATTACAGTTTATGTTTTTGTTAGCTAGGAGATATTTTTGTGCTCCCTTGATTTCCAGGTGTGAGCTATAGGTTGGGGTAGCCAGAGAGCTCTGGATCACAGTCTGACTTAAGCGCAGCGTGCGTATCCTGGACTTAGCCCTCAGAGAGCCCACTTAGCCTTTCTGAGCTTCATTGTATTTTTCATCTGTTAATTTAGGTCTATAATGTCCTTTTGTGCTACAGGAATGTTGCATAATAAGGAGATCACCGATGTACAGGAGTTTTATCAACTGTCAAGGGCTATTCAACTGTGGGGTGCAAGTATTCCTATTAAAAATGTGTCATGTCTCATGTCACACAGTGTCAAGGACATGGTAGACAGTCAATAAACATGTAATTAAAATGAACATGGAAAGGGTTTATCGAAGTGAGAGGGCTAGAGGTTTCAAGACACTGGCGTCTGCGTACCTTGCAGATTCTGTGGAGGATCTAGTATTCAGGCCTAGAACGCATTTTCAAGGAATGGTAAAAGAGGAAATGACCTTCGAGACCTTAAGTGTATTTGTTTCATTTTATGGAAGAAACTGAGACTTAGAGAGATAGGAGCTATCCCACTTACTTCAGAAGGGCTTAAGACTCTTCCTCATCACTTTTAATGGTGGCCTAAAAAAGACCCTCTTAGCCTTCATATTATCAACATGTTGTCTTACCTTTTTAAAACAGCGCAGAATTCACCACGTGGTCTTAATTCTCTTTTTGGGGCCACTTACAGGCCTGTAATTCTTGAATACACTGGTGCTATTACTAGACACAGGCACAGTGCATTCTTGGAATGTTTTCTTAGATGTCACATCAGACCACTGGGTAGAAAGCATTGCCACCATTCTCAGCCGTACTGAGACTCAGAGAGGTTACCATGACTTGTCCAAGTCACAGAACTCAGTGTCCAAAGCAGAATGAAAATCCAAGTGTTCTAATTTTCTATTCTTATAGCACTAGGTTCTAAATGTTCTCATCAGACCCCTCCTTGCCTCCAGTAGGTAAGAAAACAGTAACCTAGAAATTTTTTTTCTTAGTGTTTATATATCTATATAAATTCGTCTGTGATCTAATCTTTCCATCCAAAGAATTTGTAATAGAAAGGATTTTGAAATAATATTTAACCATTGCTTTATAATGAATGTTAATTAAATATCGCTTCAAGAATTGGCTTCTTTTTTGGTAATTGCGTTACTTTTTTGAGGAGAGGTTTTGTTTTGCTTTTTAACCTGGTTGTGTGTATTTGGAAACTACCCTAACACAGGGTATCCAAAAGCAGAAAATTCTGGCACTTTCCCCACTTTCCATTCTTCCTCCTGTATGGATGCCAGAATCCTTTGGGAAATCATCATTTACAAAAGTCAGGAGCAAAAGGAGGAGCATTCTTTAGTGTACGGTTACTGCTAATTGGAAACTAAACATCTGTAACCATGTCGGAGTTATTTGTATTTGAAAAGAAACATTTATATACAAGAGTCCTTTTGGTAACATAAAACACACTGTAACACAAAGTTGTGTGTATTGGAGAGGTGGGGTACAGACCGTAGGAGAAGCTTCCAACAAATGACTGTGCTGTACTGAGTGAGGTCATCTGCTAATTAAATCTCAAAACATTTTCAGAGGTTTTTTTTTGTGTGTGTGTCAAATGAAGCTTTTCCCTGACTCCCACCCCTACCATTCCCTATAGGCCAAAGCAAATATTTTTCTGTATTCGCCAATTATGGATTAAACATTTAATCATTTAAAAAGAATAACCGAGAAAATGGATGAGTTGTGGGGAACTGTCCAGCTATCTACTGTAACCATAGCTCTCTGTTTTCCCACAGAAATGTGAGGTGACTTCTTCTCCATCCTGAAACTATGTGTGCTGCTGGACCTACCTGACAGACCTAACTGCCTTAGGGGGGACAAAATGACACTTTTTTTTTTTTTTAAACTTACTCCATACGTCTTTCTTCTCTTTCCCTACCTCCGCCAACACCGTGATGAAATTCTGCTCAGGCTCTTCTATTTGTATAGAAATTATATCTGTTTTTCTGTTGTCACATTAAAATAAATGTTGGCAATAACCTCTAGGGAGTTAGGAACATTGCTGTAGTAGGGCCCTATCCCTCTACTTCCTAAGCCAACATGGCCATGTGGCCCTAATGGCCTAGTTCTTACCAAGTAATTCCTTTGTAAACACTGATTAATTTTGAAAAAGTCAAGAGACCATCTCTTTTTCTCTGCAGAGTCTACCCTCTTCTGGTCTTTCCTGGTTTTGTCGTCTAAGATATTTCTATAAATTGAGTTACTTTTTTAATTGGATGAAAAATCATGAATTCTTGAGAGTTCTAGTCAAGAACTTATTTAAGCTGGTACTTAACGTATTGGACTTTCCTCTCAAATCATCAATCTCTTATCTGTGAAGGCTTTACAGTGCACAGTTTCAACAAAATGTTTATGGTCTTTCAGGTTCTGAGTGTTTATAAAGTCAAGAGGCTTTAAATGACCTGACTTTACAATGACCTTCCTAGAATCTCAAAATAGCATTTGTCCAGGACTTTTATTCCTCCTCTTTGGATGTGAGTCAGCCCAGAGGCAAGGATTTGGTGATTTGAAGGTCTGTCTCTTATTCTCTTAACAGTAAGTTCAGACCATGTACTATGCCATCTGTGGCACTCCCCAGTGTGGCCCCACCCACTTCTCAGCCTTAACTTTTACTGTTATTCATGAACCTCTGCATTATTCAGACATATCTACCTATACCTTGAATATTTCTACCCTTGCTTTATAGCACTTTGTCGCTGGTTGAAATGACTTCAGATTTTTCTTGGCCTACTTGAATCATGCTTGCTTTCCTAAATTCCATCCTTCTTTTGATTTTCTATAGTTATAATGTCAAGGTCACTTGCTTCTCACTTTTCCTACACTGTCTCGTACTTTTGGTCATTTTTTTCAAATGTACTTTTCCTCTGGCCAACCCAAGTATGGGCTCTTCACAGACAATGGTAACTGCCTTATTTTTTATGGCACTTATCATGATGCCTTTGCTTATCATAAATACACAATGAACAGGTAATGAGTAAGTTATTTTTTGCTACTCTCTGTTTATTGTCTTATTTCCAAGCCTGCCTATATTTAATCTTCATGATAAAGAATTACGGATGCTAATGATGTTTTTAACCAAAGCAAATTCACCTGTAGAACTAATGCAGAAACAAAACATCATTTGGAATAAGGAGCGGCTCCTGTCTTCCCCCAGCCCCTGGATGTTCCAACCCAAGCTAGATAGAATGTTAAGTGTATACAAAGTCCCAGTTGTGAACATGACTGTAGAATGGTCTTGTGTTTTTATTTCTCCCCAGGTGTGGTCGCTCACCTGTCTACCACTCCCGTGAAATGGCAGCTCGTGCCTTGGTCCCATTTGTTATGATAGATCATATTCCTAATACCATCCAAACTCTGTTGGCCACACTCCCCAGCTGCACTGACCAGTGTTTCCGGCAAAACCATATTCATGGGACACTTCTCCAGGTAAGTAAAGTTGCTTTGTGTGGCTTCTGTCAAACATCATAAGATGAACTTTGGTTTCTCATGTACTGTGAGCTGGTGAAGATTTGATACACAGGCCTTTAACTTTATCAATAGAACTTTTTTTTTTTTTACTTCTGAAAAATCAGGTATCTCCTAGTTATGCTTTTCTCTCCTGAATACCACTACAGTGTTACATTGTGATTCTCTCAGATTTTTTTTTTGTAATACACCCTGTGTTTTCTACAGTACACTTTCTCCCACTTGGCCTTACCTCTCTGAGCCAGATAAAACGTTGTCTTTTCCATCAAGTATGCCTGCAGAACATTTTGGGCCACTACCTATTCAGAGTGAAACTGAAAGCATTTCTTGAGAGAGGGTAGCCTGAGAGGCACAGGAAGAGTTACACCCATCAGGGAGAGTCTGCCCTGTGGCACAGCACCTTAGTATGAGGAAGGATTGAACTTTCCTGTTTTCCCTGAGCTACCAAAAAAACTTAGTATTTTGAATAAATGTAAAAGTTTATTGTTTTTAACCTAACATTTCTTCTAGAAAAAAGTAACATACAAAAAGTAAAGGAGAAAGAGTCTTTTTACTGAAACTATCCTATTTTAGCGCTGAGTTGAGGACAGGTAATATTGGTGAGGTCTTCTGTTCACATGGCTGCTATAGTCGCTCACAGGCATGGGGCTAGGAGTGGAACATAAATGTCAGGTCATGTTCCTGATTTATGAACAGAGTTGAGAGACAGCCTTGAGATCTCAATACATGTTATAAGCCTGAGCTTGACACTGCTGACATGGCAGGCAGTGTGTGGAGTGATTAACAAGATGAAACTCTGGAGCCAGACTGCCTGGGTGTGAATCTCAGATCTACCCGTCATTACTTACACATCTGTGTCTTCATTTTTAAAATGAGGATAATAGTATCATATACCTCACAGGGACTTTGTGAGGACTAAATAAATTAATACATATGACGTGCTTAGAATAGTGCCTGGTGCACCGCAAGATATACAGATAATCATTATTGTTCCTATTACTTTAAATAGACCTATACTATAAAGAAGACTAATTGTTTCGTAATTAATTTCCCCTAGGTAATAAGAATGCAAGATAGAACTTTTTTTTTTTTCTGAGACAGAGTCTGTTGCCCAGGTTGGAGTGCAGTGGTGCAATGTCGGCTCACTGCAAGCTGCGCCTCCTGGGTTCGAGCCATTCTTGTGCCTCAGCCTCCCAAGAAGCTGGGATTACAAGCCTGCCCCCATCCCCCATGCTCGCTAATTTTTGTATATTTAGTAGAGATGGGGTTTTGACATGTTGGCCAGGCTGGTCTCAAACTCCTGACCTCCAGTGATCCACCTACCTCGGCTTCTCAAAGTGCTGGGATTACGAGCGTGAGCCACTGTGCCTGGCCGTTCCTTGGTTGTTTTCTATATTTAACAAATATTTACTGAATGTCTACTACATACCACTGTGTCACAGTTCAGCAGCAATAAGTCATTTTTGCCTTGAAGGAGCCAGAAAATAAGCAATCACAATGCAGTGTGCTAAGTGCTGGGTGAACACATAGCAGGACCACCAGACTGGTCTGGAAAATCAGGGAAAGTGTCCCAGAGGAGGCGACATCTAAGTAGAGGCTGAAAGAGGTTAGCCGAATAAAGGAAGGGAAGGAGTCTCCCATGCAAAGAGAGCAACATACAGGTTCCCAGTGCATGCGACGGCAGCCTGGGTGGGAGCTGCTGGTTTGGGTGGGACTGAAGTTCTAGGTTGGCAGTTTTCAACTTAGTCTCGGGACCTGTTTACATTCTTAACAGCTGTTGTGGCTCCTGGAGAGTTTTGTCTATCAATGTTTAATTAGAAAGCAAACTTGAGACGGGCTGGGTGCGGTGGCTAATGCCTGTAATTTCAGCACTTTGGGAGGCTGAGTTGGACAGATGACTTGAGGCCAGGAGTTCAAGGCCAGCCTGGCTAACATGGCGAAACCCATCTCCACTAAAAATGCATAAATTAACCGTGTGTGGTGGTGCACACCTGTAGTTCCAGCTATTTGACTTGGAAGGCCGAGGCACGAGAATCACTTGAACCCCAGAAGCAGAGGTTGCAGAAAGCCAGGATCATGCCACTGCAC